TCATTAACCCTGATTAATTCCCTAAATATCTGATTTTTAAAATTAATTAATTAATTAACTGGATGTCCATCATTAACCCTGATTAATTCCCTAAATACCTGATTTTTTTAATTAATTAATTAACCAGATGTCTGTCATTAACCCTGATTAATTCCCCAAATACCTGATACTTTAATTAATTAATTAATCGGAGGTCCATCCTTAACCCTGATTAATTCCCTAAATACCTTATTGCTTTAATTAATTAATCAACTGGATGCCCGTCATTAACCCTAATTAATTCCCTAAATGCCTGATTTTTAAATTAATTAATTAATTAATTAACCAGATGCCCATCCTTAACCCTGATTAATTCCCTAAATACCTTATTTTTAAAATTAATTAATTAATTAACCAGATACCTGTCCTTAACCCCAATTAACTCATTAAACACCTGACCAATTTATTAATTAACTCATCAAACACTTGACCAATTAATTAATTAATTATTTAACAGGACGACTGCAATTAATTCATTAACCGACCGCGACCGACCCCAATTAACCAAAACAAACTCTAATCAACGACCCAATTAAACCCCCCCCCTTGAGAATTAATTACCCGCCAACAACAACAAACCCCCTTTTCCCGCCAAAACTGCTCCCAGAAGCCCCGCCCCCTTTTCCCTAAACCCCGCCCCCTTTTCCCTAAACCCCGCCCCCTTTCCCCAAACCCCGCCCCCTTCCCCCCAAGCCCCGCCCCTCGTCAGCCCCATAAAAACCCCCGGGGGTCCCTCAGGGCCGGCACCGAACCCCGGCGGCTCCGACATGGCCTCCACCTTCCTCCCGCTCCTCCTCCTCCTCGCCGCCCTCCCAGGTAGGTCCCGGCGCCCCCGACCTTTGACCCCCACCCCAAAATTCCCCCGGGATCATCCCAATAATCCCGATATTCCCATTTTTTCCCCCCCTCGCAGGGCTGCGGGCGGCCGTGAGCCTCGTCGAGTCCGGCGGCGACCTCAAGGCCCCGGGGGAGTCCCTGCGGCTCCTCTGCCGCGGCTCCGGCTTCACCTTCGCCAGCTACGGAATGTTCTGGGCGCGCCAGAGCCCCGGGAAGGGGCTGGAATGGGTCGCCGGGATCAGCAGCGGTGGTGGCGGCACCTACTACGCGCCGGCGGTGAAGGGCCGGTTCACCATCGCCAGGGACAACGGGCAGGGCACGGTGACGCTGCAGATGAACGGCCTCAAGGAGGAGGATTCCGCCACCTATTTCTGCGCCAAAGCTGCTCACGGCGGCGCCGGCGCCGGGGGAGGGCGGGCAAAAACCTCCAATTCTCCCGGGGGGGAGACGACACCGTTGAGCGGGTTGGGTGTCACGGTTGGGTGGGTCAATGACACGGTTGAGCGGGTTGGGTGTCACAGTTGGGTGGGTCAATGACACGGTTGAGTGGGTTGATGAGAGCGTTGAGTGGGTTGGGGTCATGGTTGGGTGGGTCGATGGTGCTGTTGAGTGGGTTGGGTGTCACGGTTGGGTGGGTCGATGAGAACATTGAGTGCGTTGGGTGTGATGGTTGGGTGGGTCAATGACATCATTGGGTGGCTCAATGACACTGGGGAGTGGGTTGATGACGTAATTGGGTCAATGACATCATTGGGTGGGTCAATGACATCACTGGGTGGGT